ACATTATTGTCACCCTTCTCAGCCCGAAGGGACGTGCTGGCTTGGAATGATTTTATTTACAATCATACATGTAATGTTGTCTTTACTGACTTTTAAAAAGTTCGAAAATGTCACTTTTTTGACTTTTACTTTCGGCCCACGGGTCGAAAGTTTACTTTCGACCCGTGGGCCGAAAGTAAATGAAATTTTTAAAATTTAATGTATTTTTTGACTTTTACTTTCGGCCCACGGGTCGAAAGTAAACTTTCGACCCGTGGGCCGAAAATAAATGAAATTGTCAATTATTGTATTTTTTAGTTTTAATTCAAATAAAAATTTCAAAATTCGAATGATTGTAAATAAAATAGTATACAAACCTCGGTGAAAAGTTTCATAACTGTCTCGAGATTTTAGTTAGACCTCGGCTGTGCCTCGGTCTAACTAAAATCTCTCAACAGTAATAAAACACTTTCCACCTCGGTATGTAATATACTATAAACCTATGTCTTTGTTCTCTTGACTCTTGAGATCAGTGAAAAAACTTAAACATTACTAGATTACTACTGTGTACTGCAATATTGAACATTGTAACTATTAGAATAGACGCACACACATATTAAGTAATAAAAAAAATAAAAACTACATTTTATTTTTTACCTAGTAGTAAGAAAAACTAAATATTTTACCCTGAAAAAAACTAAATATTGTACTAAACCCTGAAAATCTCGAAGTGCTAACAAAAAAAAGACAACTTGTTAATTGTTGCGCTTTACGCTTGTTATTTAATCTAGAAGGAAGGACCTAATTGTCCGAGTCTAACTCGTTACTACTTTAGTCCGGCGAGTTGGAAGAGCTGGTTTCACCAAGGGTTTCGGGTTTGCCCACTTCATCGTTATCATTTATTTTTTTTGGTGTAGTAGGTTATTAGACTATAAAATATCATTCAATTTTGTTTTTTCAAAAACATTCCCAGTTTTTGTTTACTTTCCCGACCTTAAAGGAAAGTTCCCGGAACTTTCCGTGAGAATGGGAACGTTCCCTAGGGAACGTTCCCTTCGGCACATCACTATTTACGAATGACATATAATGCAAGTATTATATTTGTGATTTTGGCAGCATAATGCCATATATTATTCCCGCAGGGATTAATGGTCATGAATCCCACTTGCACACCAATCACAAAATTTCTCAAATTAAATAAGTAGTACTACCATGGAAACAATATACCTGAACAAACTCAAAAGTGACAGTGTCAAACGCGTAGTACTTGTGTATTTGTATTAAGATGGATGAACAACGAGCGTTTTTAAAAAGAAAATTTAAATAAATTAATTTGTCGTAAATAAAGTAGAGTATACTACTCGCAATAATGGCTATTATTCCCTCGGAATGTTACTCCCTCGCCGCTAACGCGGCTCAGTTCGTAAATATTCCTCGGGAATAATAGCTATCATTATTGACTCGTGGTATAATCTAGGGTTCGAAATTGTATTCGAATAATTCGAATAGTCGACTATTCGAATATTCGAATTGAGATTTGAGCATTGAGATAATTGACATCAGGTTTTTGTTGCTCCCATTTTTGAATTCAGCACACAACAGTATTTTTTTTTTTTTTGAAGAATCAAATGCTGGATCTGATGTGGAACAAGTGGAAATGTGAATTCATTATCCAATGAAAAATATTAAAAATATTATGCAGCTCTTTATGACATCTGGTATATTGGACGTATTTCAGAATCATTGGAAAATGATACTTGAATCAAGTCAATGAAAAAATAATATACGGGGTGTCCTATTTGAAAAACACAACTGGTTAATATTCCAAAATCGGAGGCATCTGGAAAAAAAAAAATAGTCATGCCACACGGATTCTACTTATGAACCTGCTTGAAGAAAGTAGGTATTTTTGGTTTTTGGATATCTTGATTAATGAAAAAATTCGAAGCTCTTAAAATTGGACAAGTGCAGCGCAAATTCGTACGTTATTTAGCCTTCAAGGCAGGTATTCCTTCGCCTGAGAACTATGTGTATGACTATGACGACCTATACAGACGCTTCAATCTACAACCCTTGGCAGCTAGACGCAATCAAAGAGATTTATATACTTTTTACAAGGTACTGAACTCCATTAGTGATTCCGCATACCTACTGTCCAGAATAGGGCTTCACGTCCCAGCAAGGGACACCCGCTCTGCCATAACCTTCTCAGAAAGAAATCACCGTACAAACTATGGTTTCAATACATTCATCTCCAGAACTTCTCGATTAGGTAACACCCATGGTAGCCTGGATTTTTTTGGACCCATAAATAGCTTTAAAAGAGAGCTTAACTCTCTAATGTAATTCTCCTTGTTTGTTTGTGATGCCAAGTTCGATAGCTAAGAATTTCTAGTCATCTTGATCAGTCATTATTTATGTTTGTCCTCTATTTTCTTATACCTATAACTGATTTAATGTTTTACTGTTAATAATTTATATGTATTTTTATCCTGTCACTACGCCAAGTATTACTGGCCTATGTTTATTTAGTTGTAAGGTACTTAATGTTTCTTGTTGTTTTTTTTTTTTAATGGGTCTTGCCCGTAAAAAAAAAAAAAAAAAAAAAAAAAAAAAAAAAAAAAAAAAAAAAAAAAAAAAAAAAAAAAAAAAAAAAAAAACTTTGAAAAGTGCCCTGATGTATTTCGTAAACACATCAAGTTAGCTGTGATTTGTCCTCGCCATTGTTATTTTCTCAAAAAAGAGATCTAGAATGTACTCCCACATTTTTGATATCTCTGCTCTGCTGGTTTTCGATATAGCCTATTAAAACGTGGAAAATGGGTCATCCTGTAGATACCTATCTACAGTGTGTCCCGCTTAAGGACTGACCACCTTTCCAAAACTTTTATTTTTCAACCGATTGAATTCATTTTTTTTTGTCTTATAGCTACTTACTCGAATTTGGCACTTATTAGGCTCATAATTTTATTTCTTCGACTGTACTGGTGTACAGGGTGTCCACATTTATGGGCTCAAATTTCAATAAGTACTATTAGGGATTTTTTTTAGACAAAATCTGATAGCAGATTCGTGTTTAGAATGGTCTAAAACCTAAATGTACTAATTTTTGTTTCAATCTGATACAGGGTGATCACAACAAATTTTCAAAATTTAATGGACCAAACCAGAAAAATTTAATTTTTTGAGGCTTTGAGAACAACAAAACTTGATACAACATAGTTTTAGAACATCCTGAATAAAAACTTGTAGTAAGCTTGTCTCTCAATATAACTTTTTTGTGGTTGGATTCATTAAATTGTGAAAATTTGTTCTCATCACCCTGTCTCGTATTGAAACAAAAATTGCTACATTTGGGTTTTAGACCATTCTAAACAAGAATCCGCTATCAGATTTTTTCTAAAAAAATCCCTAATAGTACTTATTGAAATTTGAGACTATAAATGTGGACACCCTGTACACCAATACAGCCGCAGAAATAAAATTATGAGTCTAATAAGTGCAAAATTCAAGTAACTATAGACAAAAAAAAATGAATTCAATCAGTTAAAAAATAAAAATTTTAGAAGGGTGGTCAGTCCTTAAGCGGGACACACTGTATAAACTTATGAATGAAAAACTGCAATTAAAATCAAAAAATTCAAAAGATAGTAAAAAAATCGAATGAATTATGTTCCGCAATCATATTTATAATCCCCAGAAATCACCTTGCAATCCCAAAAATCACCTCGCAATCTCAAAAATTAGTTCGCAATCCCCCCTGCAGTCTCTGCAGTCACTGAAATCGCCTCGCAATCCTCCGAAATCACAAATTTTTAGAAAAATTCTTCGAAATCGCTGCAATCATTTGGAAATCATAGGATTTCCGCAATACATGTACATATTTTTCGGGAGTGGTCGCACCCTCGTGAGGAACACAAATTCATTTGTGATATTTTTATTGAAACTTTATTTTCTTTAAAAACAAAATTGACGAGGATGTAACTTTTCTAAATGTGATAATAGTTTGAGTTGTTTTTAGATACATTTTTGTTTTTACACTGATGAGAAAATGATGGTCTTACTACTTCTTTTTTGTTTTTATATACATTTTCGTCTTAGTTTTGTATTTCATACCAATTTTATCTTAATTCTTAAGTATATGAGTTATAGGGTTTTTTTACTTAAAATTCTGTAACTGATTGGGTTTGCTTGAAATAAAATAAATATCTTACATATAGTTGGGGAGCTGGCGTCAAAAACATGCAAGAGTTTTCGCAAGGCGGATATTTTCAAAATAGGTCGTACTTTAGTGCTAGAATGCTAGTGTACAGTCAGCACTCACAGTTCCGGGACAGCTGGCTCTGGGACGCGGGCAAAGTTGTAATTTTAAGAAGCATCTAAACTGTTTTCTCAAAGCTCAAAATTTATAGAAATTTTGCACATTATCTGTTTGAAGGTCACAGATAACGTATGTAAATCGTCAGACGTCTAGTTCGTTGCAAAAAGGGGGTCAGACGTCCTCAAAGTTCTTATTTTATGGCATTTTCTTCAAATATATTTGTCAAATACCTGCAAAAATATATTTTGACAGGACACCGAAGAAAATGCCATAAAATAAAAACTTTGAGGACGTCTGACCCCCTTTTTTGCAACGAACTAGACGTCTGACGATTTACATACGTTATCTGTGACCTTCAAACAGATAATGTGCAAAATTTCTATAAATTTTGAGCTTTGAGAAAATAGTTTAGATGCTTCTTAAAATTACAACTTTGCCCGCGTCCCAGAGCCAGCTGTCCCGGAACTGTGACTGCTGACTGTACACTAGCATTCTAGCACTAAAGTACAACCTATTTTGAAAATATCCGCCTTGCGAAAACTCTTGCATGTTTTTGGCGCCACCTCCTGGACTAATAGGTAATTATTATAATTTTGTTTTTACTCTTTATCAAAGTTGTTGTAGCTATGTCACTTAATTGACATAATTATTATTTTCCACAGCCTAGATAGATTTAAAAAAAACCTAGAAAATTACTTACCCATATCTAATTTTGCATCACCATTTTGTGGGCTTTTTGTATCGTTATTCAAAATCACCACTTCGGGAATTTTTTCGTCGTTGGCCAACATCTTTTCGTCTGCACCGTCAATTTCTTCTGGACTGGCTTTCACTTTAATGAGAGATTTGGGTCGAGAAACTGCTTGCTCTGCAAAAAAAGGGACCACTTAGAAACTGGTTTTGAAAAGCATCTGATGCAATGCTTTTTGTGTTGGAATGTAACCCTGATTTCATAATACATAATTCAATAAAGAAATTGAGCTAAATTAGACAAATAAAAAAAAAAATTAAATGAATTTGCAGTAAACTCACAGTTCAACCAAAGTTTTGTAAGGAATTAAAATAACAGAGCGCTTAAGCCATTTCATCTCAAGTGTTCAAACAAAATACACAAGGTAAACACAAAAAATCCTTCAAAATTGAAAAACCATACAATTTAGGGACAGTAACTTGAAACTGGTTCGAGGTAAAAACATTTTAAATACCATTTAATTACATACAGTCTTTCTATGTAGGTAGATAAATACTTACCTACCTCATTAGGTATAAGTATGAAAATCAGATAAAATATTTTCATGTTATAGTAAATGGAATTTTAATGAAATATTACCTTCCATATCTTGTTCTGGAATGGGCTTATAAGTGGCATTTGTAACTTCGGGGCTTGTCCTACCGGAAATATCCAATTTATTCTTATCCATTATCTTTGATTAACTTTAATTTCACTTTCTACTCAAAGTCACGAAGTACCTATACAAAAACTGTATTGAATTTCTAAACTATCAGCAACTGTTCTATTTTTCCCACAAACCTATTCTTATTTGGAATGGAATGGGTGTGAAAAAATCGATATTAAGTTCAAGGACTCAAAAGGCATGTTTTCATGTAATAGATAGTGATAGAGATACCATTAATTTATTTCGTGGGATTGGGATTTTGATCGATAACCTTTCCTTTCTTTGGTTTGTTTTTTCAAATGCATTTGAACTTTGATATGCAATACAGACGATAAATATTTTGTAGATAAGTGAGTTGATAAGGTGCTTTTTATTTAAGTCAAGGTTAGACTGGACATTTAAATTTGCCGCCATGATTTCTCATTTTTATTTTTCCTTCTATTGGAAACACTGGCTGGTTTTAAATGTTAATACCAACCAAAATTGTTCTCGTTTATATTTGTACGCGGATCACATTCGGGCGAGTTCTCATGAGCGTAAGTTGACATTAGTTGTATTCCTTTCAAGAGTTTGAAGCACTCGAGCTACTCGCTCCGGTGTTTAGTCACCCCCGATTTGCAGGGAACAGATGCGTGGTGCAACAAAAACTTTTTGAAAGGAATAAGAGCGTGAAGCCCCGGAGCTGTTCCGGAGCTCCTCCTAGGTGTGAAAGGAATACAACTATTTCTGGCGTAATCACATGATAAAATAGTTGGATTTTATTGGTAAAATATTCGCCATGCTGGAGATTTTACCAATCAAATTACACCATATTATCACGTGATTACGCCAGAAATGTCAACTTACGCTCATGAGAACTCGCCCTCAGAACCGATTCCGTACCAGTTCACAGTTCATTTTTTGCTGAGAACGATTCCGGAAAAGGAAACAAAAACTTGGAACTTCCTACTAACCAAACATATTATCACCGTGCGTTCCGTATTTTGATCGGAGCGTTCGTTTATTTAAACTTCGGGCACTCACTCTGACACAGCGTTCAACGGCTCTGTTCGCTCGCTGATCACGTGATTACGGCTCCTCTCAGCACGATCTGGTCTTTGAGCAAAATAAGGGAAAATACCGAACGCCTAGTTGTGTTCCTTTCAAGAGTTTAAAACACTAGAGCTACTCGCTCCGGTGTTAGTCAACCCCGATTTGAAAGGAACAGATGCGCTGGTTTTCATGCATTTAAATGTTTTGAGTCGGGCTTGAGCACAGGTGCAATAAACACTTTTCGAAAGGCATAGGCGCGTAACGCTCCGGAGCTGTTCCGGAGCTCCTCCTACGAGTGAAAGGAATACAACTATTATGAATGAAGCCTCATAAAAGTGCTCCTGTCTCGAACTTTGGCTCTTGTTCGATAAATGAATATCTATTCATACTCTGTCCAACCAACCTACGGAATGTCAAACAACAAAACCTTCAAATAGGTTCGTTACTATAGCCGCTTTCCAGCGGTGTGCTTCAAGCACGGTGCAGCACAGTGTTCTGTGTTGGAAACGAAAAAGTTAGCCCCTTTCGATGCACAGTACGGCTGGAACACGAACACGCGCTTGAAGCATTTGCGCACGCAAAAGCTCGATTGCGTGCTCAAAATGGTCAACTGGAAAGCGGCTTATATTGGTTACTATTGATCATTTATCAGCCCGCTTTACACTGTAGAGTGATGCTTTGTAAGATTTTGAAATAAATAAATGGCATAAATTAGTGTTCAGTGTAAACTGGAGGTCATTTTGACTCTGTCATTCTCCCAGAGTTTAGAACTGGAAAGTTCAGAGTCGATCCGGAACCCATTCTATAATTCTAAAGGCGGTTACACACGGGCGTGGATGTCTTAAAACATGTACGCACATACATGAACGCACAACCAAAAACATCAATGTGTATGTAAAATACCGTCGCGTTTTTGAATGTGGAATCGCTAGAAATTTTGTATGCACACTCGGATTACTGTAGCAAGAATAGCAAGACTGCAGTTTTGTGCGAGCGTCTGTACAAACGCGACATGCACGTTGTTGTTTGCACGTTGATGTATGCACGTATATAGGTTTTTTACGTTATATTTAGGATGACGTCAGAGAACAAGGAATGACAATGTTGTCAATGCCTATTTAATTTCTTATAATTTACCAGAATGTCATAATGAATTATCAAAACCACTGACAGGTAAAGATAACGAAATGCATCGACACGAGTTATTTATTAGAAAATGTTCAGTTAAATCATGCAACATCGCGCGCCGTTGCCAACCAGAAACATCTGAAATTCCCCTACTTTAAATGCGCTAGGAAGTACTTTTAGTTTTGTCAGATTTGCAGCAGAAATTTACTAAATGTGACGTCATCCTAAATATAGCGTGAAAATCCTATATGTATTAAGCCATCCACGCCCGTGTGTAACCGCCTTAATACACACCACCAATATGTCGCTTTTTTGAATGTCGCTAAAATGAGACTGTTATTTTGAGTATCGGGGTTTTCAATATCACCGATATTCTTGAACCAGGGCATAGAGAAATATAATAGTAGTAAACTATGAGAGAAGTCATTCCCCTGTACTTAATTGGCACAATGTCGACGTTAGCGCCTCTGGTGGCTACGGACAGCAATAAAAGAGTGAACATTGTTTAAATGCAGGTTTCTTCTTTACCGACAGTGAAAAGGCGGCTTTTTTGAATAATTAAATTATTAACTTTGATTTTATTTAAGATTTATTAAAAATAAAGTACTGTAAACGCTCAAAACAGTTAATTGCAAAGCAAAACATTTGTTGAAAAAACTTGCTAAAATTTACCGAGCAACTGTTAAGAACGATAACAGAACTTATTTTTAAAAAATCCAAATAGATGCAATGAGATTCCTTAAGGGGGTCAAGGAGGTAATTGAACAATACAAAAATTGAGATCTCTTCAAACAAACTTATTTTTTTATTCCAATTTTATAAATATACAGTAACTAAAAATGTTTATATTATAAGCTTTGTGTTTACCTTTTTACTGCATCTCGCGTCATCGCAAATTCGAAAACACACTATTATTGGTGTCGGTTTTGTCTCATTAATTAATATTTATGATCACAGAATGTTTTCTCATTTCTCTAATATAAATAAAAAAAGAAAAGAATCAAGTGGTCATTTGACAGTACAGAGTTGAATTTGCTTCGGGCCAACTCAAATTCGTTTCTAGAATCGAATATTGTTTGTGAAAGTTTGAGAAATAAAGAAATCGCGAGAAGTATCATCAGTTGACGGTCGCGAATCAAGACGTTTAAGATATAATGAATAATAGACCCAGGAGATTTTGTATTTAGTATTTAATCGTTTATTGCAATGACTCAATGCCTGATGAAAAGTAAAATGATTATGGAACTAAGTATGGAACATTATTGCAATTTTGATTGCTGAGTTTGAGCGAAAAGACTATTGAATATTTTTTCCAAGAGTATAGTTAGGGAAATATAAAACATGACTATTGTCAATTATCATTAATATAAAGAGTTTTGAAATGAAATTGACTGTTGTTTACTGTTGAATGTTTTGGGCTCATCTGACTCTCTGACTAAAAAGATTTAGCTAAAATGTATAATGAATGATCATTAAATATTATTGTTCTGTCTAGTTCTAGTTAAATGATTTTAAATTAAATATTTGTATAATTTTGGACAACAAACGAATTTATTAAAAAATTACAATAAATGTTACTACTTTGCTAATTACTATACTGGGTGTCCGGAAAATAACGTAAAAGCTCTTCACTACATGGTGGAGGACCCTTCAAGGAACCCCAGAAAAATAATTTAAAAAATCTGGTGGCATTCTTAAGAAAGTTATTAGCATTTTAATGTTGCTTAAAATTGGCAATGCTGAAAATATCCCATTGACAATTTGTCACAGAATCACATTAAATACCTATGTAATTACCTGAAAAATGCGAAGGTGACTAAAAAATGTTGTCAGATCAATTTTTCCTGTTGTAATTTAGAGATTTTGCAATTTTCATAATACATTTTAAAGGTTAACAACAAATTTTTATAAACTATTATGTAATGAATCAACAAAAGATACCTAACACTTTGTACGAAATATTGCAATTTGAAAAATAAGTCAAAAATAAGGAAGTTGAATTTCCACATTTACCTCTCCATATTTCCAAGAATGGTCGAGGAGGATTTTTTTTTATTATTTTTTCAGGGTTACTCAAAGGATCCCCTATTACGTTATGGAGACCTTTTACGCTATTTTCCGGACACCCTGTATATGTAACTATGAACAATCAAAACTGGCATAAAATGATTCACAAGCGTTTGCCGTACAAGTGTGATGGTCAAACTCTCGTTGAAAAGACTTTACCTATCCCACTAAGCAATGTAATATCGCATTAATATTTTAGTAATGTTTCTAGATAATATTGTAATATTTCATTTTTTATTGCTGCTACATAAGTGCAAGGTTGCTGGAATAACTGAAACGGACTTATTCTAATATTCACAAATGCAATGTTTACAGAATAAACTTTTCTGCAATATCGCCTCAAACTTGTATTTTCATAAAAAATAAATTACGTTTGTAACATTAAAAATGCTAGCTTACAGAAACCTGCATTTAATGTAGTTTATAAACTTAGATAAATATTACAGTTGCAATATTTTATTGGTACTTTACAGAAATTTACATAATGAAATATTGTATATATGATAAATATTTAATATATCGTAAGGATTTGCATTAATGCAAGATCCTTTATTTTCAAATTTCCTTTTCTGCCAGTCCAACTACAGACCGGGCACAATGGTTAGTTAATAAACTTCCAATTTCCAATTGATCTTATCACACATGCCTCGATTTCTCCAACATAGGTATTGTGAAAAAGCCACCTAAAATTAAAAATTAAACAGTATTAAAATATCACAAAAAATTAAAATGTTAAAATTTTACATTGGCTTTATATTCTCTTCCTCTCCCAACATCTCAAGATTTTGATGAACCCTTTCGTCCTGTTCAATTCTCTTGTATTATTTATCAAGCCAAGAAAAAAGAAGCGTCGTCTGCGTCCTCCGTCCTAGCGTCTTGGTTTTTGGTGGCGTGGCGTCAACAACAAATGGGTGGTGCGTCTGCGCCGTTCCGTCCCAAACAATTATCCCGTCTTTGTCAGTCAAATATATTTTTGCATGACAGAGACAAAGACAGCATATTGCAAATAAAATCTATCTGCAAGTTTTATACAACATTGAGAAAATGTATGTTTCCTATTCCAAAGTTTATGTTGAAATATTTAGGTAACGTTTTTTATTCTTGAAACTGTTAACGTACGCATGTATCTGCAACATTACAGCGACAGTTTTAAGAAAAGTTGAGCTTATAATATTTATGCAACCATTTTATTATATTTTTTAATGTTACAAACGTAAATATTTCCGCAACATTAAAGCGACAGAGTTGAAAAAAGTTACATTTTGTAACATTCTTATAATATTTGCTTTACTTACATTTTATAATGTTTCAAATGTAATACATTATTGTAGTAATACATTATTGTATCTACTGCAACATTTACTTAATATCTAAAACGAATGTTTCTCTATTTAAGTTATATCAAATTTATATTCCTTTACATTGGATAAGTAATATTGTAGAAAGCTTATCGTCACATCACCCAATAAATTTTCTGAAGCAAGGTCGATACAATATTGCTGACAAATTTTGCAACATTACATGTTTAGTGGGATGTTTCCTATTCATATATCATCATATCCAATGGAAACAAAATATTATATGTATTGCACACTTTCCCGAACAACTACATTCAATGCCATTTCAATACTGCAACTGTTGGTGTTGGATTCAAATGGTGTTCAACTCCAATTCGTGAACGAAAATCGATACGTGAGAACACGCCTTAATCACCGAATGGAATGATAAAGAGATTCCGCAATCAAAGTTACTACCTATTATGTAAACGATCACCATGCGATTTGGGGAGGATGAAGAGAATATCTATTTTCACACACACAGAATATCTATTTTCACAAACGAAAGTAGGGACACTAAAATTTCAGCAGAAGAAGCTCAGTCAGACGAGGATTCTGATGGCCATGTTACAAATCATAGAGTACGTGTATCTAAATTTACGTAAGTACGAAATTCTAATGCAAAATTAATACCAAAAATATCTGAATATGATAAAAATGAACCGGTATATTACGTGTCATATTGACAGAAGTCAATTCAAGTTTGTAAAATTTCCAGTTATCAAAAAAAAATATGAAATTTTTTGTAAAATGACCGACGATATCAAAATATTATGTCTTCCCCTGCTAGTGGTTCTGATAAGCCAACAACTTCTAATGCTGCTAATGCCGTTCAAGCCAATTCTGAAAAGAAAGTTAGCGTTTTAGAGAGTCACGGATATACTCTTCAAAAAACTATCGGGACCGGATCTTATGCAACTGTGCGCGTAAGAGACACAATGAAAAAAAAAAACACATTCCAGTTAATCTAAAATATTTCCTTCTTTTAGTGGGCGACTAGCGAAAAACATGATTCTGCTAAAGTTGCAGTAAAAATAGTGAGCAAATTCAATGCGCCAGCAGACTATTTGAAAAAATTTCTACCGAGGGAAATTGAGGTTGTCAAAGGGCTGAAACATCCTAACTTGATACGGTTTTTGCAAGCTATTGAAACTACGCATAGGTAATAAGTGGATCGCATCACGATTTTTAGTCCTGTGTGAACTGTGAAATGTTTAAATGTTGCACTTAAGCTCAATAATCATATCCATACGTCTTTCTAATGTAAAGGTGGATTTTTGTATACCATATCATTTGCTGTTGTTATCTGAGTAGATTATAGTAGATATCATATTTATATTATAAACACATTCAATTTCAAGGGTCTACATCATCATGGAATTTGCAGAAAACGGCAGTCTCCTCGACATAATCAGAAAAGATTCGTACATTGACGAACATAGATCCAGAAAATGGTTTCGACAACTCGTTTACGGTATTGAATATTGTCATGATCGTGGAGTAGTTCACCGGTATTTCACATTTCATTTTTCAAATTGCAAGTATTTTATTCGGACATTTCTCAGAGACATAAAATGCGAAAACATGCTAATGGACGAAGGATGGAACATTAAACTGTCCGATTTTGGTTTCGCCAGAGGCGATATGAAACAGAAAAACGGACAGCCAATTTTGAGTCAAACTTTTTGCGGAAGCTACGCATATGCTTCACCTGAAGTGTTACGTGGAATACCATACCAACCGCAATATTCAGATGTGTGGTCTATGGGGGTAGTTTTATTTGCTATGACTTTTGGACGACTACCTTACGATGACTCCAGTTATAAAGAGTTAATAAAGGTAAGATAAAACAACTATATTTTCAATTATTTACTAAGCAATTTTTTTTAGCAAGTATCCAGCAAAGTCGTGTTTCCAAAAGAACCATCAGTATCAATGAATTGCAAGTCTCTGATCAATAAAATTCTGGCTCCATTAAAAACTAGGATTCGTATAGGCCAAATTAAACAAGAGCCGTGGTTTACTTTTGAAGACGATCAAGCTGCAGGAACTAGTAGGGAACGAAGAATCAGTTCAGTAAGTAGAGTAGATAAAGTTAGTTTTAGATACGTATTATCCCAATTTGCAAGATATCTAGGTTATTTTAGATTTAACCTATATCGTGAAGTTATTTTGCAGGAATCTGAAGACGAAAGAAGATTATCAGTGGATCCGGAAACTTTACCACCACCCAATTTAATAACCAAAGAACAATTAGAAGCTAAGGCACAACCGCGCGATCGTAGCAGAAGAGACAGTGCAGAAGACGAACAACCAGTCAAAATCGAAAATCCACACTAACACAAAAGGAAATAAAATTGTGTAATTGGTCTAACAATAAGTATGTCTGTAATACAAAAGTCAAAATGAAACAATGCATGCATAAAAAAGTATGAAATAAATGTATTATTAAGTACTTAAGTTAAATATAGTCAGTGGGATAAGGAGGCGGTAGTTCATACGTTGCAATAGCTGAAGCTCGGGATAGTGTAGAATACAATGGCGGGGCTAGATTCTTGTATGATTGTTTTACAGTTACTAAGTTTTCTTGGTTCTCTATGTCTCGTATATCGTCAATTACTGAAACAAATATAATATCAGGATAGATTTTTTTTTTTAAATTACAGTGTCTCACCTGTAATGTCTCCTTCTTCTCCGATAATCACTATTCGTGAGATTCTATTAGACATCAAGCATTTTTCACTTACTAAATAATTAATAATTAAAATTAAAAAAACAGTTTATTCAAAATTTTGAACTTACTCATTTGACACAGCTTAACACTACCAAGTATGAGTAGCACAAAGCACAATAGGGAAAGTAATACCCAAAACACTTTTTCCTCGAATAAATTAATCATTGACATAATACCGGAAAAATTTTTTGTTACTAAACGAAAAATTGCCGCGATCTCAATCAAACTATTGTAAACGGCTTAAAATTCCGTTCTGTAAATACCCAAAGTGCTTTGACTTGAAGCAGATAAGGTATTACACCAAGCTAATATACTCTATAAATATTATAGACAAAAGGTGTTTCCACTGAATTTTCAAGGAGTATTGCATATTTACTTAAAGTTTACTTTATTTGTACTAATTGGACTATTGACAAAGATATAAAATCCTTTGCGTCTTCGATTATCTCTCGGCATATAAATGATTATCTGCATGTATTCATGTATATGATTCAGAATTATTGTATGTATTAATCAGTTATAACATACCTAATTAGGTATATCAATTAAATCTTTTGTGACTTTTGAAGTGGGTAATAATAGTTTTTTAAACATAATTACCCTTATGACGTGAATAGACTTGTTACTTCAACTTACTTACTTTTAGTAAGTTACTTTTGGTTAGTCTGTAGTTATTATTACTAGATACAATTTAACCTAATAATTTCAGTAAATACTTCTTGGTATCCTTTAAAGTATCTGGCACGGAACTGTTGCTATGTGAAATAAATTCAAGGTGGCACAGACTTTAAAGTTATCCGATAGTCCCATTAACTTTGTCTTGTTACTTCATAGTTTTTATTACTTTAATGGCGGCGTTGGAAGTAACGAGGTCGTTGCTAGGTTTGAAATTCCTTCGAAGTTATGGAACTATCGAACTCTTTTATAGGGACGAAAATATCTTTGGTTGGTTTGTGACCTTGAGTTGTTATGTGGCCTTGTGCTGAAGGTATGCGCTTCAGCAATTGGCTCTTAAAGAACAAGAATGTAGACCTAGCCACAACCAGATATAGCACCAGGGAAGATACTGGCATATGGCAAAAAAGTACCTACGTAGTAACATAGCGTAGGCTGAAATGGGTCATTGAAGATATGGGATTTATCCAGAATCACTACAAAAAGGCAATAGCACGCCATACTCCAGGCTCCTGATTATACTTACAGCAAGCTTGGAACTGAATCATATTCCGAAAGAAAGAAATCACAGTTGTTTTCATCCCCAAACCTGGCAAAATAGGACAAGGCAATGCAAAAGTTCTGAGACCCATCAGCCTTATGTAGAGTCATCTACTCCACGCTCCTCGGAAAAACAGAAACGGCTCGGGTTGCAAACGGATGTGCGCAGGGCGGAGTGTTATCACCTCTGCTGTGGAATCTGGTAGGTAATGAACGAGCTGATAGAGCTACTATGAAGAGCAAGAACCATGAAGTAGTGGCATATGCAGATGCTTTGATCATAACATCCCTGGGAAAATTCATCCATACAGTTAGAGATCGCATGCAGCAGGCTCTAACAATAGTCTCTATGTGAATAGAGACTGTAGGGTTGAAATTTAGTGCCACCAAATCGACAATCATCGCCTTTACCAAAAGAAGGAAAATGGAGAGACTTGAAACTCTTTACATTCATGGAAACCCAGAACAATGTCAGACGAAGTTAAATATATCTTGGGTTGATCATAGGCTCAAAATTAACTTGGAGCCAATATCTGGACAAAGTAATTAAAAGGTCAGAACTGGCACTTATACTAGCCAGGAGAACTTTTGGCAAAACATGGGGGCTGCGGCCACACATGATGCATTGGCTATACACAACGGTTGTGAAGCCAACGATAACCTTATGCGTCTTTGGTATGGTGGACAAAGACACAACAAGGCAGGGCCAGAATGAGACTTGGCGCGGTGCAAAGACTTGCCTTTTTGGGCATTACAGGGTCCATGGAAAGCACACCAATAGCAACTATGGAAGTCCTACTAGACCTACCTCCCCTACACATTGTAATTTAGGTGGAAGCCAGGATGGGCCTCCAAAGACAAAGAAACAACTTGAGCAAACTAACAATCGGATCAGGACATACACAAATAAGGGAAGTCATAAATCTGACAGTATTCGACATAATCGACATGATAATTGACTATACACTTCCCAAGACCCGAATACTCACCCGACATATCCTGCCAAGTCCTAATTAGTGAAAGGGAGGAATGGGAAAACCAACATGCACTTTCCATCCAATCTCAAAGGCCAGGCCTGGTATCCGGACGGGTCACAGATTGAGAATGGCACAGACGCAGGGATTTGCAGTCCAGAAGGGAGATGCGAGACCTTCTTCTCTCTAAGGTTACATACATCTGTTTTCCAGGCAGAGGTATATGCAATACTACAATTCGCAAAAATCAACAATATTAGTGCCTGCAAAGACAGGATAAAGAACCCTAAAGAAATCTCTGCACTGGTAATAGAATGCCGAGAAGAGCTCAACAACTTGGCCGTCCAAAATAACGTCACATTGATGTGGGTGCCAGGACATAAAGGTATCCCGGGCAACGAAAAGGCTGATGAACTTGCCCGCAGGGGGGTCATCCACAGAGTACCTTGATCCTGAACCAGCTCTCGGGAGTGCTCGAAAGTAAAAGCATATTAAGAAAGGAATGGATCAAAGCAAAACATAACATGCTCAATACTGGAAGCAAATACCCAAGCATGCACACGGAAAAATCTTCATACGTGAGACATGCAGCAAAAGAGAAGAAGGACTGCTACAACTAAGCAGGAATTAACTCAGAGTAGCACTACTAAGCGGCTTTCTTACTGAGCATGCCCCAGTAAAGAAGCACCTGCAACTATGAGGAACAGAGACAGAAACAGCCCAACACATTATATTAGAATGCAAGACACTTACTCGCAGAAGACAAAATATATTTGGAGAAGATGAACTGATCCAGACACATCCAACAGACCTACTTCGCCCACTGCAGGAAGCCAGGGTTTTGGAATGGGTGCATTAAACACGGAGATATAGCGCAAGACAACTTCCCCACCATTAAAAAAAAAAGAATGCGCTGTAGCTTAAGAACACACACCAACTCAAGGTCAAATACCAACCCAAGGCCACTCACCAACTCAAGAACATAATCCAAGGCCATATTTTCAAGGTCAAGGAGACGGAGCCAGTCAAGGTCAAAGTGTGGGGAGTCAAGGTTAGGGGGTGGAGCCAAAGTCAAGGCCGAAGGGTGGGGTGTGGTAATGCACACTACTCAAATCGTATGAAGTAGCGGTGACGACGTCGCTACATCCCCGCTACGTAATTGGAACGTAAGTGCGACAAAGCGGTATAAGTTCCGGGGTAGTAGTTATCACCTTCAAAATGTTCCCCATTTTGGACGTAGGCACGTAATGGGATCGTAGCAATAACGTTGCCGTGACTAGTAACCACAACTTTACAATTCCCAACAAAAGTCGTAGGGTTATATCAACGACTAAAAATGCTGCTGGGCTTATATACTTATACCAAACACATATCATATCAGTGAGGTAAGGCATGCCAAGCATAATCAAAGAGAAATTGATATGCAAGAGGATAAAAGACAGAATCATTACAAAAACATGAGTTTTCTGGATTGTGTTGCGCAATGGGTGATTTCGGACAAAGCTAATGCAAACAATGCTCGTGGTATAAAGGTTGTATTGGCATCTCCAAATGATGTTCAAATGCTGTCGAGGAACGGTAAGGTAAAGGTAACTAACGGAAAGAGAAAAGGTTAGCTTTCGGCTTTCGACCTGAGAACCCGCAAGAGAAAGGTGGAAGGTAGGATATCGTGTTGTGAAGTCCCAAGAATTGTTCAGAAAAAAAAAATTGTTAAATCATCAATCCTCCCAAAATTCACGACATCTTTTGTTACCAAAACGTGAGAGGCCTAAGTACCGAATTTCCACTCCTCCAAAGAAGTGTAGCTATAAGCCGCTACCCTATTACAGTACCTACTCACAGAAACCTTATATTTCAGCAATGTTGAGCTGAGTCTAGAATAATATAATGTGAAATCAATCGAAATACAAGTTTAACCTAGAGAGGAGGTTGTGTTTTCATTGTAGTTCTTACGCATATATCAAGTACTGTAGTTGTAAACATATCGAACTACACTGAACATCTTTAACTCAAATTAGACTCACAACCAAATTTTGGGATAGTGGGTGCAGTGTACTTTCCCCCCAGATTACCGCGTTAATGAAGTACCAATATGTTTTGGTCATGCTATCGGCCATCTTTATGATAAATACATGACTACGGAGGGAGATTCTGTTTGGTTGGGAATTTCAACTTGCCGAAGGCCAATTATTGGAACAAGAAGAACTGCTGAAATACTGCTACGAGTTCCCTTCCAGCTCTAGGAAACAGAGGCTATTGAGGTTTTCTTTAACAGTGCACTCCACAACCTGTATCACGGAAATAATATCGTAAACATTACTGACACCATCTTGGACTTGGTCCCCTCAAATGACGCTTAAACCCATGATCTATGATTATAAATCCGCTGATTTCAGCTCAATTAACGAATATCTTGGGAAGATGATGGTTGCTATCGCCTTCAATTGACATGTTGTTGAATATCTTTTATGATGTATTCTACTTGGTTATAGAGGCTTGTATACCTACTTAAAAAAAAGTATCTGAGAGGAATTTTCCAGGGTGGTTTTCACCAGAAATAAAACAATTGACTATTTTAAAGAAGCGGGCGAAAAAGCAATTCAAAATATCTGGGTTACGGGATGACTATATAATCATTTCGCAGGCTTACGTTCTCAATGTATGTACATCGGTGACTAAAATAAGTTATTAAGGTTTTGTACAACATGCAGAGTTAGTTCTTCTTATTCAGAATAATTCCAAACGAAAAAAGAAATGTTCTATGGTAATAAGCATTGTCCAGGTCCAGATCTCCACAATTCAGATTATTATTAATAATATTATAGATAGGTAGGTATCTGCAGTAGGCGGAATGAAACTGCTGAATCTATTTGAGTTGCCGTCTAAAGATAAAAGCTCTGTGGTGAAGTCATGTATTACTACTGCCAAAGAGTCTCTGGGGTCTTAATAGTCCTCCTCAAACTCAATTCAATTCTTTCACATGATATAGTGCACAAAGAACGTTGGGCTTTGGTTCTTCATTTCTTGGTCTAAACGGGCTTTGAACTGGTCCTTTGTTGTTGACGTGACAGTGTTGTTACCAAGACCCAAGACCGTTCCAGAGATAAACCACCCTGTTTGTTAGAAAGTTTCTTCTCATTAGCTTGTTACATTTCTCCTTGAAAAGCTCTAGATTCTGTCCTGTGCGATTGGTGTTTTTGTTGAGGTGGTAGATCTCTCTTCAATCTCATGCATAGTGCCCATTCATTATTTCAATGAGATCTACCCTCATTCTTCTGTCTTTTAGGGTGGTTAGGTCTAGCTGGGTTAATCGTTCCTCATAGGGCAGTTCATGAAGGTCTAGAGGCAGCTTAGTCAGTCTTCATTGTACTCTTTCAATTTATGTCTTTAGCATAATAAGGATTCCAAATAGTATGTGCTCTTTGATCTTATACATATGATTTATGTAGCTTTAATATCTTGTCTTCAAAGAGGTCTTTAAATGTGTTTTGTACGAGGTAAATCATTGAATAAGCCTTTTTGGTCATTTGCGTGATGTGAATTTTCCATTTCAAGTCTTGGATTACAGTGATTCCTAAATCTCTTTATTGTGTGACTAGTGTTATTTGAATCTGTTGGACTGTACATTTGGAATTATTCAAGTGCATTTGTTGCCGTGTCCATTCTTTGATATTGTTTAGGTCTCTCTGAATAGCAGCATGTTGAAAAAGTGGATTTCCATAAATGTTTCCATCGTCGGCAAAAAATGCATTTCTTGTTTCCAGCCCCTAGATATAGATCACTTAAATAATCAATAGAGAGAAAGGAACCGAAACTGATCTCTGTGGTACCTACTCCACTATGTGCTCTTTGTGAAAGTGTGGAAGTGAGTCTTGTCAGGAGATTAGTAATCGTCGATTTTCCGGAAAGAAAGCCGTGCTGTTGATCTGGTATGACACGTTTCTCCATAAAAACTTGAGTAAGCTCTTTTGCAATTATTTTCTCCACATTTGCACAGTGCACTCGTTAATAGTCAATTGTTTTCTACATGCTCTTTATTTCCTTTTTTATAAATAGGCGTCACTACTGCTTTTTCCATGCTGTAGGGAATTCACCTGTTCTTGCTATGTTATTAAGAAAGTCGTCTAGTGGCCCTTTTAGTACATGGATACAGTTCTCGAGCAAGACAGGAGGTATTTCGTCGAGCCCCTGGACTTGATGATAGGTTAAGTTATTTTACTGCAGTTTCCACTTTCTCTCGAGTAAACAAAATATTTTTTAACTCGGTTGTAGGTTGTAGCATATGCATAGTGTGGGTAGAACCGTATTCGGGTTGAGCACTGTGAAAACCTTCTCAAACTATTCTGCAAAACACTCTGCAATATCTTGATCTGGTATTAGCGGTTCTTGTGTTGTTTTATCAATTAGACTAAATTTGTGTTGAGGGTGCGATTTATGTAAACGTAGAACTGTTTACTATTGTCCAGTAGGTTATGTTCATAGGTTTTTCTAGGTGATATTTGTTTTGCTGTTGGTATTTTTGGTAGCTTGCCTCAGATTTGATTTGTTACTTCTACATGTAGGTATATCTACCTATGCCATATTCCTTTGAATCTCTTTAAAGACTTCCCTGGTCAGCCATGGTTTTTGTGTATTTATTTTTTGAGGTCTGATTGGAGTGCAAGTGGTTATTGCTATAGTCAATAACTACCTTATAAAATGTCTCAGTAGTCATTGGATTTGTTACTTGCTGTAAAAGTTGCTGTAGGCTATTTTTGCCTGCTTCATAATCAGCTTTCCAGAATTGCCTCTTGTAGACTTTGTGTGTTAGCTGCGCACTAATTTGGACCTACGATTTGGTTGTGAGGACTATGTGATCGCTTTCCCCCAGTGGTGCATGATGTGTGTCAAATGCAAGTTTCTTCTCATCAACTATTTGTAAGTCCAAGAGTGATATTTCGTCGTTTCTGATTCTAGTTGGAAAGTTTACAAGTTGATGTCCACTGTGGTTTTTGTAGCTAAACAAGAAGTCGTGACTGCTCTGGTTGTGGGGGTGCACTTCCAACGCATTCCAGTTTATTTCTGAGTAAATTAAGTCTCCTATGATATAGACAGGCTCTTTTAGGGCCATAGCTTTCTCGATAGTGTGTATAAGAGCCTGGTTTTGTTCTTCTGTGGTCTTTTGCCTTGGCCTGTAAATACATGCATCCAAAAATCAATGTTCCTATACATATATCCAGTATCTACGATGAAATTAGTAAATTGTTATGAATATATAGCCAGGACCAAACGGCATTCCACCTTCCATTCTGAAAAACTGTAATTTTTCAGTATCTCGCCTCTAACATATACTTTTCAACAACTCCTTGAATTCTGGGATTTTCCTTGGCTACTGGAAGATCAATTTCTTGACCCCATAGTTCATTCAAATCTGGTAACAAAGCCGATATAAGCAATTCTACTGACCAATGAGAGACCTAAGAACTATTCCGATGCTGCATAATAACAAAATATTTCACTTAGGCACTACATCTGCCAATAAACTTAGAACAACACAACGTGAAATAGGGAGATCAATTCTAAGCGTGTCGTTGAGAACTACTAGGACGGACAGCTAAATAGTGGGAGAGGCCCATGTCGAGCAAGAACGTAGAGGGCTGGAAGATGATGAGAATTTTTATCGTTCAGGTACCTACCATTGCCCTTCCTTTAAATTATTTTAACGGGTTTTCGATTCCACTTATACCTTTGTTGGAGTCTCTAAGATATTTGAAAATACTCTTCGTATATTTGATATTGGTTGGAATTACCGTTTTGTTCACTTATTGGGTTCTGGCTTTCTTCAACCTGTCTCGCCTGTGAACCGTTGAAATGCTAACAAGGTGTCTGTAATCATATTGCTGTAGACTTTGCAATAAGGAACTGATGGAAACAGCCTTAAACTGAAAATTTGAGGAATTGTAGTAATAATGCGGTGGATATTTTTAAAATTTCTTCTATATTTCTATTCTATCGATTCTTGTGAGATTATTGAAAAGCAAGATAAATAAATAATGGATACCAATAAATAATTCAAATAAAACCCTTTCAAACTGTAACAATAACCCCAACTATCGCAGAGGTAGATCTCAAGTGGTAGGATATCAAGTAATATCAACCACTTTTTTATTGATAATGATAAGGCAAATTTATAAATAATTGTTTAAGGCTCGCGAGAGCGAATCGGTGCCTGATTTTCAAGTTAACAACTAAGTGCAAATACTCGCATCTCGTTATCACCTGGTGATAAAATTCGTCGGCTGTATATCGCTCGAGCAGCTGTCATTGTCACCATAGAAATGAGCGCGGACGCGGTGGTACTGGATGGAGTTCCTCAAAAAATTGTCATCGTCAAAAAGACTTTAGGTTCGGAAAATTCGCTCACATCAGACGATACGAAAATCATTGTTTTGGGAGTTGCGTTCAGTGTTGTCGGTGGAATAATTTTTTTTATAGTTCTTTTATGTTTATGTAAGTACTTACCTACCTTTCGACAAAATAACAGTTATTTTTTTTCAAAAATTTTAATTTTTCATTTTACTCATACTAATGAAAATAATCTGTAAAATTATCACGTTCTCTGTCAAGATCATGGATCATGAGATACATAAAATACGTTAATTTTTGGTGAGAGGTGTTAAATGACGATAAATGCGTACCGTAATTCGATCGTTGTACAAAATAGTCTTGTTAGAATCTACATGGATTTTTCTTTGGGGAACAAAATTAATTTCTCATTTTTCATAAAAATTCTATAACCGTTTCAGTAAATCATTAGGATTAGGATCATACGTGACCCACCCGTGTTAGGTTCTTGAGGCTCATCATCATTTTTGTGATTCTATTCAACTAATGGATCTTGGTATATCAAATGGCTACTAGATACAACCATTGGTGTCGCATAGCTACCTTTTGACTTGGATTTTTGAAAACTCATAACTTTCTTTCTATTATAGATACCTAAGCCAATTTTAAGCGATTGACCATTGGGGTGAATTTTTCAAAGATTTCAGCTTCAAATCTCACAATAATTTAGTGCAGGTGTAGTTTGGAGGGTTTCAAAAGATCGTTTAAATACAAAATCTAAAACAAAAAAAATTGAAATTTCATCATTTTAGTACGTAGTGGGCGATTGTCTATTGTCCGTCGATCTTAATCTGATATACTCGGACGGAATGTGAGCTGGTGGCTCCCTACATTAGAACGCCAATGGTTACCTGACGTCACACCTGTTTTTGCCATATGAAACACCCCCTCGCTTCTCATACGGATAGTGTCAGTTAAAAATCAACGAACAATATATTTTGCACCCACCTATCTCTCCTCTATGAAGAGATAGGTACCTAAAAATGCCAAATGTGGAAGTTGTAGGTTATATCAGAAAATTTTCAATGATGTTAGTTACAAGTATACAGAGTGTGTCACAAAAGTGTGGCGAAACAAATTTATACTTTTTCAAATCGAAAACCATGTACAAGGTATTTGATTATATTTGGACCCATACCTACAGCCTTTACTATTAAAGATAGAAAAAAAATTTAAATACAAAACTTGACTGTTTTTTTCTATATTTTCTTTTAACATTATCAGAAAAAACAAAATCGCATCGGAAAATGGAGAAACGTAGGCAACTTCGACTTTTTCTAATGGAACACCCTGTATATTATGCGATAAAATGAAAGATCTTTTCTTCCTGATTCCAAATATATATATATATATATTAATCACATTTGGGTGAGCCGTTTTTTATATATCTTAGTTTAAATTATAAATAAAATCCAAAGAAATTTTGTTAAGATTTAAATGTCTTGACATCCTTAGGAAATTTCTTTGCAAATTATTTATAATTTAAGCTAAAATATGTCAAAAACGGTTCACTCAAATATGATCAATATATATATATATATGTATACAGGGTGTCCGGTAAGTATATGGCATACTCTCGGGAGCGTATAGGAGGGGTCAAAATAACTCTACTTTGTTGAAAGAAAAAATTCCTAAAGTGCCCCTTAACAGAGATACAGAGCCCCAAAAGAGTCCTTGGCGATTCATATTTTTGGCTCTAACTTTTGAACCGACCTGTATAATTCAATGAAGTTTTAATATTTTATGTTGAACATAAAGACTCATAAAATCATACTATAGTAGATATTTCACATAGTCTGGGAAGTCAGGAACGGACTTGCCACCATATTTATTGTGCCAAATTTTTGAAAGGAGTCATTTTACAGAGCTGAAAACTGATTTTTCAAATACTTTAGTAATTTATCTTCAAAAAAGGTGCTCTACATTCGTTTCGATTAAATCGGCCGTGTCCGAAAAAATTAGCTTTTTGTATGATACGTTTAATCATTTACCTTGGAAATTTATTTAATAATTAAGTTGATCCTAGATTAAGAAAAACAGGTAGAAGTTGACTTATAAAAAGTACCTTTTTATGGCAGAAAGGTTCGGTTTCAGGTGGTCAATTTTTGACCCTTCGCAAACATAGAAACGTATGTAGATTGTTCCTAAATCTGCGAACAGCCACAAGTTCTAATTTTTGGCCGTTCGCAAAGTTTCGTATGCGCTAATTTTCATTCGCTTTTCTGCGAGCGGTATTCTAGTCGCCTTATTCGGTTTGCGTATTCGTTTTTCTCGTGTCAAGTGGGGATGTTAGGTTGTTTTTGTTTGTCAGTTTTTTGATAGCGATTTTATTATTGGATTATTGTGTATCTACTATCTCTGTATCTGGGAGGGTGGTATATAAGGTATGCTACAACACTTAGGCCACAATTATGCCCATTGTGCGCCTCCACAAGAGGAGAGGTCATCATTAGCTCGTCATCCAGCCTAGCGATTCTACGTAGGCAATGACGTCGCCGAAGGCGGTGCCTCTGATCTCTTCTAGTGATGGGTACGATTGGCCTAATTCGGCTCTGCGTATTGGCGAAAGAGCAGTGCAGTCACTATCGTCTCATCTTCTTGATTGCAAGGTGTATCTACTATAATACGGAAAACTTGACGAATGTGCTGTGCTGGCAATTCGTAATTTGGAAAACGCAGAGATACGAAATCGACATAACCATTGTGATCCATTTCTAGAGCTAAACCAAAGGTCCTGTTTCTCAATAGCGAGTCACCTCCGGGTTGGTTTTAACTCCAGGTTAAACGTGTCCAGTTGCAATGTTTACCCCGGAGTAATGCTTAGCCCGGGGGTGACTTGCTATTGAGAAACCGGCTCAAAGACAGTTTATTGAAGGGTGTTCATTTGTACTTGTTCTACCTGCTCGAAAAATCAGGAAGATCTGCTAGGAGTTGCTATTTATGTGCTTATATGAGACAAATGAACGCCGATCTGCTGTTAAGATCTGCTTGAAGCAGGAAAAGCACTACGAATTACAAATAAGCACCCTGGTAATATGTTCTGATTGTCGAAAGAGCTTGTTAGATATTTGGTTGAATGTTTAGAACCTCATACACGTCTGGCACAACGACCAACAGATTTAGATGTATTTTCTAAAGTAGGAAATTAATGTTATTTAGAAGGCTGTTTTGCAATGTTTGTTACACAGTTAGTTGAATGCGGTATTACTCATGGGTCTTGATTATGCGTTGCAATTTTTCGCAAGCCGTAGCTATCAACCGGATTAGCTGTAGCTTGCTTTTCACATACTTCACAGGTTTCTTTTGCTTTTCATTGGCATTCGCATCCCTTTTCTTCTAGTTTTTTGTCACTGCTATCTTCCATAATTTACCACTATCGTAAACATCCACAACACAAAATCCACAATTCTTTCAAAATTAATTCAAAAAGGCAAAAACACGTCAAAAATTTGTCAAACATTCTAAAATTTCCGACGTTGTCAAATCAACCATACGTATGTTTACGAATTCGCAATATCTACGTTTATCCATTTACGCACACCGGTCAAAAATGGGTTTATAGATACGTATACGTTTATTTTTGTTCGCAAATCTTCGAATACGCAAGTTAACGTATATTGTCAAAAATTGACCCCCTGCTGATACTTTTCATGAATTAACTTCTACCCGTTTTTCGTAATCTAGGATCAACTTGATTTTAAGTAAATTTCGAAAGTAAATGATTAAACGTGTTATACAAAAACCTAATTTATTCGGAAACGGCTGATTTAATCGAAACAAATGTAGAGCACCTTTTTTGAAGAGAAATGAACAAAAAATTTAAAAAACCAGTTTTCAGTTCTGTAAAATGACTCCTGTCAAAAATTTGGCACAATGATTATGGTGGCAAGTCCGTTCCTGACTTTCCAGACTATGTGAAACATCTACTGTAGCATGGTTTTATAAGTCTTTATGGGCAACATAAAATATTAAAACTTCATTAACTTATACAAGTCGATTCAAAAGTTAGAGCCTAAAATGTTAATCGCCAAGTACTCTTTTGGGGCTCTGTATCTCCATTAAGGGGCACTTTAGGAATTTTTTTTTTATAACAAAGTAGGGTTATTTTGACCCCTCCTATACGCTCCCGAGAGTATGCCATATAATTACCGGACACCCTGTATATTTGGAATCAGGAAGAAAAGATCTTTCATTTTATCGCAAAATATACAGGGTGTTCCATTAAAAAAAGTTGGAGTTGCCTACGTTTCTCCATTTTCCGATGCGATTTTGTTTTTTCTGATAACGTTAAATGAAAATATAGAAAAAAACTGTCAAGTTTTGTATTTAAATTTTTTTAAAATCTTAAATAGTAAAGGCTGTAGGTATGGGTCCAAATATAATCAAATACCCTGTACATTATTGTCCCATTTCATTAGCCTCCCAAACCTGATTCCAAATATACTAGGTTTGTCAGGTTTATTCCTCATAGTCCAGCCTCTGAATATCCCATTTTGAAGAAATAATATGGATTTTTCACATGAATGATTACCTTTATATTTTGCTGGTGGTCCCTATACTTCATCTTTTTCAATAAAAATGCAATTATTCTACCCCTATTTGTCCTATTTTCTCCTAGACTATTAGGAATGAACCTAGAAAAACCTAGTATATTTGGAATCAGGTTTGAAGGGCTAATCCAATGGGACAATAATATACGGGGTTTTTCATTTAAAAAGTATAACTTTGCTTCGCCACACTTTTGTGACACACCCTGTATACTTGTAACTAACATCATTGAAAACTTTAAAATATTACCTACAACTACAACATTTGACATTTCTGGGTAGGTATCTCTTCAAACAGGTGAGATGGGTGTGGGTGCAAAATATAGACAATCACCCGGTATATACTAGGTAGGTACTACCGTAGGTACTACTTTTAACTTAGATTTTTGAAAACTTGCTCATTGGGAGATAGACTATTTATGCACTTAAGAAGGAAATAAGGATATTTTTAGTCTTTCCAAGACAATAAAAATGATGTCAACATTAAAGTAAGTACCTATATACTATTCACAATCCGATGTCCACAGGTACAGGTAAATTTATCACCTTTCCCTATCAAATAGCATTGAAAGGTGATAAATTTTACCTGTACCTGTGGACATCGGATTGTGAACTAATAATAGTTTTAACTTCTTTTTGATAATGATAATAGAAACGTGCAATATACTTCTGCAAGGTGCAAATTTTCTGTTTCTCTTCCAGGCAAAAGACGCAGAAGAAGAAACAGACTACGAAAGAATGATCAAGAAATTTCTTCAAGTTCCACCTCCACAACTAATACATCACCTCCAGTATTCACTATACGTCAAGAAGGTAAAAAATTGGCCTCCGAGACAACATCAAAAGCCACTAAATAATTTATTTTCAGTGCAACTGAGAACTACAGAAGACGTGACGCGAAGATACGAAAGAAGTATTTCATCGTTGTCCACGAAAAGTCAAGTTTATTTGGTACCTTTTGCGGTACTACCACCTGACTTTGGTAAGTTGAATCAGTATAAAGTCAGCATAAAGTCTATTTCGTTTTTTATCTTTCCCTCCGGGCTTGCTCATGTCCATTTTTGTTGAAGAATGTGTTCATCCGCAAAGAGTTGCTCTCTTTCTAAGAAGTTGATTAGCATGTTGCCTTTCATTTCTTGTACCATGTCCGAATTTGCCAATGTAACGTCAGTCGGTGTCATATTGACCTATTTTTGCATTTAAGTCTCCCATAACTAGCGTTTACTTTGTTTATGCACGAGCGGGCGGTAAGTTGAACTTACCGCCCGCTATTTTCGTATCATCAAACACTCTCGAATATTGGTGGAGGCCACTAGTTCAATTTAATCCGTGTTGTCAACTATGGAAATAGAAATAAAACAAGAATTATAATTTATTATGCACCTCAACAACTATAGTACATAGGTTTAATATTAATAGAATTTAAATATTATTATTTTTTGTTAACATACAAATTAAATATACAGTTATGTGAATTATCTATCACAACACCTCCTTTTCTTATGTGCTTATCAAGAACAACCGTATTTTCTGTATCATTTATCAGAGAAACAGGATGAGGTTCATCGTTTAGTTGTCTGGATGTTGTTTGGATCGAAGTCTTACCACTTGTTGAAGGAGTTTGGTGTAAAATTTGGTCTGCGAATTTCAATTTGCTCTCTATGGAGTCCTCGATATAACCCTCGGCAACCGTCGAGGATTTCCAACCTCCATGTCTTTTGAGAGCTAATACTTCTACGCCGCTATTTGCAAGAAGCGTCGCAGAAGTTCTGCGAAAAGCATGTCCAGTGTATTGAGAAGGATTTTGCAAATTTAAAAATGTGGCAATTTGTGCTGGCCATTTTCCTATGGTATTCTTTCCTACAACTTGATTAGTGCAAAAGCCGTTTCGAATTTTTAAGAATAACTTGTTTGATTTTGCGGTTTTTTGTCGTAGTTCGATATATTTCCTACAAATCTCCAAATAATCCACTCGCTGGTCTTCTTTACCAGTGATGGTGAAACTCCTTTGAATATTGGTTTTTGTATTGGGTATTTTAACAAAAATGAACGTTTCATGATTATCTATGTCTTGTAAAGTCAAATTACATAATTCCACCCTTCTGCATGCTCCAGCTACACCAAATATCATGCCTATCTACGAAAAAACAACAAATTAATTCTTTGCATTGTTAAAAACACAGGTAAATTAACTCACTTTCAAAATCAAGTATCTATCATCTGGTGCCTCCATTAGAAACCTGTATAAATCCTCCTTTGTGAAAACTTTAGATTTTTTCGGTGTATGGCCAACGTTTTTTCTTTTCAGAAAGGCAATTAAAGTTGCGTATTTCGAAATGTCAACATTTTCCTTCAGAAAAAGTGTCGCCTTCAGCATGGAATACTCAGCCCATAAGCTTCCAGGTGATTTTAACTTCTGATTTCGGTGTACAAAGTATGCCAAAAGCACTTTCTCCGAAACAGCCCAGTTTTTGTCAACGCACCACTTCTTAAAGATTTCAAAGGTTTTTTCGTACCGTTGCCTTGATTTTTCCGGAATCACAGCGTCACAACCAATATTCCAAGCATTTTCCAGTTCACTATCACTATTTTCACTCATATTTCTCCTTAAATTTCAAAAAAGCGTATTTGCAGCTTGCAACCGTATTGTTTGAAAGCGAGTTTTGCGTAACTAACACAAATAAACAATTTGAGAAGCACCATAACAACCATACCAACCATTAGAAACAAGTAGTCCAGCCAACTATAATAATAATAATAATTGTTATAGATAATGTGCGGTGGTGGATAACCATGGAAATAAGAGTTGTGATTTTTGGAAGCGTTGCAAATACAAAAGTTGCCAATTTTTCATTGGGAACGCGCCTTTATAGGAGGAAGACAATTCTATTTTTGAAAATGTCAATTGGATGCCATTCTATAAATTAAGTTTTTGAACTGGAATAGCCCGATCGTGCATAAAACGTAATAAGTATTTTGGGCGTTAAGTGTCGTTAACCGCCCTCGAATATTGAAGACCTCCGCTACGCGTCGGTCTTCAAACAATCTCGGGCGGTAAACGACACTTACCGCCCTTAATACTTAAATAACTATTTGTTCTCGTGCAGACACTGTGTTAGCTCTTTATAAAGTTCCCCTACCTACCTACCTCTTGGTCCTAGTAGATGACTTTGATTGTTGTATTCTTGTTGATTTTCAATGTTATGTATATTACCCTGTCAGATTTGATTTGCTCTTGAGTATTTGTAGGTATGAAGGGACCATTTGTTTGTGTATCAAGATTCCAACTCTTCGATAGTTTATCATCCCATTTTTTATCCTACCAAGAAGAATGTATGTAGATATGCCAGGCATTTTTCCATCTTTTCGATCTCAGTCAACATATCTACAAAAATTTCAATATATTCGCTCTAGAGTCCTCATCTAAATAGCTTCGTCATTCATTAATAAAATGCATCTTAAAACTTTGTATATCATGATAATCATCAGATTTGCTTTTGGTTTATTGAAAATTTTCCTTGATAATTTTATCTAAATTAATGTCGCACGCTTTAATGCTTTTTATTGCAAGCCTAATGCTTTTAGCAAATAAACAACAGACAACGCACCTTCAATTAGCAAAAATTAGCTTATAAAAGCCTGCGGGTAATTATGAACATTATCGTGTTTCCGAGAAACACTTTGAAGGATTTCTGTTGGCGAGCATATAATAATTAAATATTAGTTGAAGCTGTAATAAACAAAATCTATATCTGAGAATCAATAGGTACTCTTGTATCAAAAGTTATGAAAAAAAATCATTACCTAATGTTCATTCATTGTGATCAAGGTTGATACCTTGATTTGAGTGTTTCAGCTGACACTGATAAACTTGGTGCGTGTTTACATACAAACGAGCTGTCTATTTTACTGGACAAAGCTCAACAATGGTGAATCTGAACATCCGAAATTAAAATATATCATACAAAAAGAGCCAAGGAAAAAGTACAAACATGACAAATATCTGGATAATGAATTCAAACTCAACCATAAATTAAAAAATAAAATATCTAAGTACCTATTCTCCGTCGTTTTTATACTGAAACTTATATGAGGAGCGAGGGGGTGAAGCTTATGGCAAAAACAGGTGTGACGTCAGGTGATCACTGGCGTTCTTATGTAGGGAGCCATCAGCTCACATTCCTTTGGAGTATCAGATTATAATCGACGGACTTTATCTATTATTTTTTCGAATAATTTCAATTTCTTAGAAACAAAGATAATAATGCCATAAAAACAGGAAATGATTTATCCAATTCATGAACCACATTTTCGCATATAAAAGTTCAAAAACCTGAGCTCGACAAATTTTTTATTGGACATATTTAGAGACATTCAGACTTTTATATCAAATTGCGAGACAATGACAAAGCAAATAAAAAGTCCAATCAGAAAGATAATATAATAAGTCATCCTTTTATTACGAGAGCAAGGCAATTAATACTTCTCAAGTGTTAAAAACTAAAAATTACTTATTAATAATTGTAGATTCGTATTCGAATTGAAGCGAGTTATGTTATCTCAGACTAGAACTAAAACAGCTCTTGTTATTATCAGTTTTTGCAAAGATAAAGTTCTCTCCAGTTTTACGTGCCTCACATTTTTTTTCCAGATAATATTCAATACAGTTCTCCGACTTTTAAAAACCTTGTCTAAGAAGTGATGACTCAAGAATCAAGATCTTGAGAGTCTTTCCAGAGAAAAATCTGGAAATTCTTAGTTAAACCTCAGAATTCAGGATCTAGATTCTAGAGTTTTTTGGTAGAAACACCAACAAATATCCAAGATTTGCCGAATTCAGATTTTAGCCACATCCATAGCATATGATTAGTGCAAGATCTGAAGGTAATAGGAATCGTCTTTCCATAGAAGAACCAAGAAATTTGCAAAGTCATGACTTGGGATTGAAAATTGGAAGTTTTCAGAGTTTTTTATAAAGACACCATGACTTTCTGAAGGTTTCTAGATCCTCAGAGAGTAGTTTCGAGGAGAAACCGAAATTTATTGCAAAATAACAGTTCAGCATCTAAAGCATCTGAGATCTGGAAGATCCTAGAAATTTTCTCTTAGAAGAACCAAGAAGTGATAACTCAAGAATTAGGATCTTGAAAGTCTTTCCAGAGCAAAATTCGAAAACTCAGTTAAACCTCATAAATCAGGATTTGATGATTTCAGAGTTTTTTTATACAAGGACAAAGAAATATCCAAGATTTGCCGAATTCAGATTTTTGCAACATCCATAGAAAATGATTAGTGCAAGATCTGAAGGTATGTAAGAATCTAGAAAGTCTTCTCATAGAAGAATCAAGAAATTCGCACTCATGACTTGGGATTGAGAATTGGATGTTTTCAGAGCAACACAAAGACATTTTCAAGATTTCTAGATCATCAGAGAGTATATTCTCAAGGCAAAACGGAAGATTTGGAAGAGAGCAGTCCAGGAGCTGAAGCATCTCATGAGAATCTGGAACATCCTAAAAAAATTTCTCTTAGAAGAACCAAGAAGTGATGACTGAAAATCAGGATCTTGAGATTTTTTCCAAAAAAAAAATTCGGAAATTCTCAGTTGAATCTCAAAGTTCAGGATGTAATGATTTCAGAGTTTTTTCATAGAAGCACCCAGAAATCTCCAAAATTTGCAGAATTCAGAACTCACCAACATCCATAGCAAATCATTAGTGCAAGATTTGAAGGTAATAAAGAATCGACTTTTCACAGAAGAACCAAGAAATTTGTAAAGTCATGACTTGATTAAAAATTGGAATTTTTCAGACTTTTTTATTAAGACACCAAGACATTTTCAAGGTTTCTAGATCCTCAGAGAGTATTCTCGAGGAAAAACAAAATTTTCAAAAGAACGGGTCAGGATCTAAAGCATCTTAGAATCCGGAAGATCCCAAAACTTTTCTCTTAGAAGAACTACCCCATTACCAACCAAGATCA